TGCAAGGGATTAGCCGATATGGTCTGGGGGCCGGCTGGTCTCTCCCCTGATGCTTTGGCTAGAACATTTTCTTGCGTAATTCGTACACCCAAGGGCAGAAGGATTTAATCGCCGTCAGGTCCGAAGTCCATACGCCGCCTCAGCTCTGCGGATGTCTCGGGGGTATGGCACAACTGAATCGATTAAAAAAATTTTTTTTTGGATGACTTCGTTTCAAATCCCACCGTATATATCTAGATTATATGTTTTTTTCATTTTTGTTTCTTAGTTGTTTTTTCCCAAAAATTATTAAATTTATTCAAAAACGTATACACTTTGTAATACTTTTTAATAAAAAAATTCTGTTCCCTTTACGAACCGTAAGTCGATCGACCTGTGCTTTTCTGGTTTGAGATACTGGCTTTACTCCACTTACTTGTCATGTTCATTTCTCTGTACTGATTCTTTTTAAATATCTGCAATGTTTTCTGGTTACTGTTTTAGAGGCTTTGCACCATCACGTGACGGCAGCCATGTTGGATGGCAGGAACAATACTTCGATCCTTTCAGGTATGATCGTACGAATGATATTTGGGGCAATTATTGTTTTCCCTGATGAAAATTTTAACTGCTTTTCTCCGAAGGACAAGTCCTGCACAAAATGGGGGCTGACAATATAACTGAGCTGGTTTTGGCTAATTTGGAGGCGAGGTGTTCTTTTTACAGGACCTGGGGTACTTCTTCCATGTTGAAGACGATGAAGATTAGCCCATAGCCATCGATAACATGTTAATCCTGGAATGTATTCTGAGGCCACTGACGTCAAAACTGGCAACGTCCGAGAAGGTAGATACCTGTCGGCGTGTATCCCAGCTATCGGCGCTTTTATAGGCTTCTGCCAAAGCATCTAAATATCCCCTTTCTGATGGTAAGTGAGTAAGGCCGAAAGCTTTGCTCATATTATTGGACGCCTGTAGAGCTTGCCAGAGGTGAGCTGGAATTCAGGACAGAAGTCATAATATCACACGTTCTCTGGACATATCGCCGCTGCGTTCTCTCGGTGACTCCATTCCAATCAAGCATTGGTTTTACAATACGCTCTAGCTGACAGGCTATCAAGAACCTATCTAGGGATGGACCATTAGATATTGAGGGGGGGGGGGGGGTTTGCAGGAATTTCGCTTGCATGATATTTATTTTTTTGGCTCAACCCTTGCACGTTTTTTTTTGGCGTACAGTTATATATTTTTCTCCTAGCAGCAGAGGTTGTACGATAATTTTTTTGAGGTTTAAGTGCTTGCTCGACCATTAACTATCTAATTGTCCGTCCCTTAATGCAAGCTCACAAAAAGATGATGCAGTACTCATCGTGTCAGGAGGAAAAACGCTCAGTGTATCATGATCAGTTATTTCCAGTTTACTCATTGAATTTTTTCTGAGTCTTTCAATTTGCAGCTGCTGATAAGTTGCTTCATATACTGCGAGGATCAGCTCAATTTGATACGTTACGACCGCAGTACAAATATATATTCCAAATATATTCTCATACACAAGTATGTAATTAAGCAAACACAAGTATAAAGTTTTCTTACAATAGATAGCGTAACTGACTTTCATCCCTTTTTTGCGCGTCACAGGCCACTGGCATGCCGATAGGGGATGTCATGATCGACTTTAAGGTTTATTTTAGTTGAATAAGAATTCAAGCCACGCGCAAAAATAGAAATCCCGCGATCCCTTTCGGTCTCAAGATTAGGCCTTTGGCTTTTGTCGACGATGTACAAAGTTAATCGAGTTAGCTATATACATTGCAAAGTTTAAAAGCATTTTAGTTACCTGTTCTGTTTCGGATGGTTGGATTTCTGGCAGATCAGAACTAGGCTAAGTTGTCTCGGATACAGAGAAGTCGAAGTGAGTCATCTGTTCAGTCAAGCAAGCTTTACATCTCTTAAAAATCACTAAAATAAGATTTAAGAAAATAAACAATAAGTCAATAAATTGGTAGGAGGAGAACAATATGGTTGAATAAGCTTCAGTACTGATGGATGGACCAGATACGAGAGCGCGATAAAACAAAAACTACGACGAGTAAACAAACAATTTATAAACAAAAACAGTGTGAAACACTTAATCAAGAAAGCGAAAGAATGAGTTAATTTTTTATCTAGATTTCCGCCAAATATTTTGAATTACATACGCATAAATTAACGGTGATCGACCGTACTCACGTGATCCTACTGGAAGGAGAGTCTCTGTTTGATTAAAAACGTATGAGGAAATAGAAGTTGTCACTCCACACTGGCCTTTAAACTGACGAGGATTTGTGAGCAGCAACTCCCAGAGTCTGGTATTGCACATCGTATCTTATTGCTTCTCCAGCGAACACCATACTTATCACGGTGCAGAGGACAGATTGTCATTTTCGAATATTTTACATCTAATATTCCTAAAAAGAAATAGCGTTCATTTTGTATGTCTTTCATCTACATAAAATAGCAATCTAAAAAAGATCAATGTAATTATTTTAAACTGGCTTTTCTGTATAGTGAAATGTCCCTAGAAATTGCGCAATGAAAAAATTCAAGGTAATTATTTTTAACTGGCTTTCTGTATAGTGAAATGTCCCTCAGAAATTGCGCAAAGAAAAACACCAAGGTAATTTTTTTAACTGGCTTTCTGTATAATGAAATGTCCCTCTATTGCCATCTACATCTGACTTAACAAATCCAAATAAAGGGATTTTCCAAATATGACGTTTCATTTAATGAACTGTCTCGCATTTCTTTTGATTAAACCGGCGAACCAATAGTTAGTTATGAGTCGATACCAAACTCATGGTTTTGAAGATTGAGCTCTAGCAATGGACATATCTGATTTGTTATTACAAGGATTAATGCAAGCGGTAATGCTTATTGGGTACGATTACCTCCTAAACAATGACAAGAGAGAAAGATCAGCTGGAATTTTTGGCCCAGGCGAAAGAGATAAAGGAATTTTTGTAACGATCATAAATGATAGTCTAGTAGAAGGTCCAGAGATTACTGTACTTAGTCTAATGGCTGTAAAATTACAATCCCCCCAAGTTAAAGTACTTTTTTTGCCAATATCAAGACACGAAGTTTATATTACAGATGATGGCAGTAAGTTTTTAACCTAAATCTTATTTTAACCTAAGCCCTAAATTTTATCGATGCCTTGAAACATCAGCTGTGCTGGTAAAACTGACTCCCGGGGGGTACTCCCTTATATTTACTATACGGGCACGTTCAGCCAAATAGGGTATGGTTTTTGGCTTCACGTCTTGAATAGGGTATACAATTTACCGTAAGTTGTCTTGAATAGGGGTGTACTTTCTATGTTTACTATGTTTTGTACAGGGTGTCAATATTTTATTTAATAGAACAACAGGGTTTATAGGCACCAGCGGAACCTCCCCGTCAGAAATTGGATCTGGATCAAGTACTCCCCCACCCCCCCCCCCCCCCCCCCCGGGAACTGACTCAGGGCACAGTTTTGGACGGAGTTACATGCAGTGGATATCATCATGTAGTATTCATGATAGAAGCATGCAGGATGTTTGATCACTGCGGAAATGATGCATGAAATCGCGATTATCATCAGTGACAAGAGGGATTTGCATGGCGAATTGACGTAGGATAATAAAAGCACTAAAGTGCTCTCTGACCTACAGCCGTAACGGAGGGCAGAAAAGACCACTTCAAGCTGAGTAGCACTAAAGAATATTGGAGGGAGTATACGGTAAATACGTACGGAAGGCGTATTCACGACATTGACATTTGCTTGTTAGTATAAAATTCTTAATGTTTTTTAGTAAAAATACACAGGTGATTATTGAAAATCTCGCGCGCTGATTGGTCGAGAAACTCACACTATCACACGATAATCACCTCCAGCGATAATCCAAAATGGCGGCCAGCCGCTTTGTTGCTGTTACCGGGAAAAAATGTCTTTTATCTTCTTTTTATCCTTTTTTTGAAAGAATTACCTGTGTATTTATACTAAAATAATTATTTGTCTCAGTCTCAGTGAATATCGGAGAATATTTACCTCCCCGCTCGACGACTCAGGTCTCGCTAAATATTCCCCGATATTCACTTCACCTTCGGCGAATAATTGTTAAATAATCAATTTCATGCTTAAAGGTTAAAGTGGACCAACAAAACCCATGACGTCAACCAATGGTAAATTAGCAACCACTCAGCCTCTTTGGCAAACAACTCATCCAAGTACACAAAAACCATCGATACAGCCTGGAACCAACACGCCTAGGCCGTCCATGTATCCTCCAACAAGATCAACTGGTAATCCTCGGTCCAGTACACAAAGACTAACATTGTATAACGGTATGCGTTTCTCAACACCATTTCCCCATGGTTAGGTTAAAATGTTCGCTAAAAATGTTAGAAAGTTGCTAAATATTGGGTCAAATGTTGGGTCAAATGCTGGGTCAAATGTTGGGTCAAATGTTGGGTCAAATGTTGGGTCAAATGTTGGGTCAAATGTTGGGTCAAATGTCGGGTTAAATGTTGGGTTACATGTTGGGTTAAATGTTGGGTCACATGTTGGGTTACATGTTGGGTCAAATGTTGTGTCAAATGTTGGGTCAAATGTTGGGTCAAATGTTGGGTCAAATGTTGGGTCAAATGTTGGGTCAAATGTTGGGTCAAATGTTGGGTCAAATGTTGGGTCAAATGTTAGGTCAAATGTTAGGTCAAATGTTGGGTCAAATGTTGGGTYAAATGTTGGGTTACATGTTGTGTCAAATGTTGGGTTAAATGTTGTGTCAAATGTTGTGTCAAATGTTGGGTCAAATGTTGGGTCAAATGTTGGGTTACATGTTGGGTCAAATGTTGGGTTAAATGTTGTGTCAAATGTTGTGTCAAATGTTGTGTCAAATGTTGGGTCAAATGTTGGGACAGTTTTTTTCAGGGCCTTTACTGGCAAATAAATAAATGATACTCAAGGGAATAACGATAAGTGTTCAGGTGAAGAAAATACGTCCAAACTTGATGGTTTTCATTATAGTCTAAGGGATGGCGGAGCAAGCTGGAATAGGACTGGGATGCGGTGTTCTGTTTGCTGTAATAGTAGCTTCTTCAGTGATGTGTTTCAAAAAGAGAAGACTTCCAAAGACATCGGATAAAGGAAGGTACAGGTTAGTAATTAAAACTTATCTTATTTTTTATGCATGTGTTTTTATGAGTTTGTTGCCGGCTGGCAATGTCCGGCGAATTAAAAGTTAGATTTTTGTTTCAGTTACGTTTGTTTTATCAACCAAATAAATATATCGTTCTTGTTTTACGAGGGTTTATAGATTCTCAAAAATAATTCCAATATCCTGAGAATTGGAACCTATTGTTTTGTCTCCCAGATTGAGCTGCATTTTCAAAGTGCTGCAAGGGGTCTAGAGCACTTATAGACAGTGGCTAACAAACCTGTGGCCTTCGTTTTATAAGTTGAATTGGAAGGTTGATTTGTGTGGAGGGAGGGGGAAAAACCGGAGTGCTCTGAGAAAAACTTTGAAGCCAGAAACAGAAGAGAACCGGCAGCTAGAAACTCTAGTCACACATGACATCGAGTCGGGCGGGGTCCCAATGGTGAGAGGCGAGTGCTTTAGGCGCTACGCCACCCGTGCTCCCAAAATAGACCTTACTCGTGGTGTGACAATGTTTTCCCAATTCAGTGTGACGAACCTCCAGAGGATGCATTTTCTTTTGTTTTTACTCTTCGAAAAATTCATGAGTATCCCAAAGGATACGAAGGGAATAACGATGATACCCCGACGAGTTGGAAAACAATAGCTCTTCATTCCCCCAGAGGTTTGTCACGTTCCATTGGGAAAACATTGTCACACCACGAATAAGGTCTATTGGTTGCCCCTTCGGAAAGATTATGAACCAGCAAGTGCAAAGCTTTATTAAGACTATTATCAATTTATTAGAGATAATCTGAGACTAGACATTGAGATGAACGACTCATGGGAAGTCAGCCCAGATCAAGTAACGTTTTTGGAAGAGCTTGGCCAAGGAGCTTTTGGTAAAGTATACAGGGCTATCCTAAAGATACCACCAGTAACAGAAGACAAAAGGTACTGGCAAAACTAAAAGGGACGACTGTAAAATCTAAGAAAAGCAATGCAACTGAACAGATAGTAGCAGCAAAGACATTACACGGTAAGTGGTAAACGTGCTTCCCTGGCACGTTTTGTGTGGTGATGATTAATGGCGGGAAAATACAAAATGGCTGACGTTAAGTACCAATCTTTGCATTGAGCGACAAAACAAGAAGAAAAAGAGAATGAAAAACCTTTAGTATCTTTTTCCATTCAGTAATAGCGTCGTGACTCTGGGACTAAAATCTCAGGTTTACAGGTTTAGCCTAATTAAAGAGCAAATAAATATCGCAAAAGTCAACTGTGATGTAAAGAATGTGCAGCTTGACCAAAAACAATGTTTAATAATGGTATCTGTAAATGGCTGACTTATAAACAAAGCTTAGGCTGTCTAAATGAGTCTGTAATCATAAAAAACAAAAACAAAAAAACAAATTGATTGCATTGAATTAGAAAGAGGACTATCAGACACCTAACTTTGTTCCAAATTTCTTCCGCATATTTCATAAACATTTCTGGTCAAATAACAAAGTTATGAATAACAAAATCTTTATGTTATGGTGTATAATTTTAGACGAGGACAAGGAGAGAATTTGCAGCAAAAGACTTAGCAATACACTCGAAGTTTCAATACAAAGTGTTAAGCGAATCTTGGTTTCCCAAAATGTGGAGTGATATCCATTTATCTGTTTAAATTAAAAAACTTGTTTTCTTTTCCAATTAGATACAGCAGATTTAAATGAAAAGCAAGAATTCCTAAAGGAAATCGATCTAATGAAGAAACTAGGTTGCTATCAAAATATCGTCAACTTTCTGGGCTGTTGTACCACGAGTGAGCCAAACTTTCTCGTAGTTGAGTTCTTACCAAAGGGAGATTTACTGAAATACTTGAGGACGAACAGACATAAGGTACAATATATAACTGTGAGACATGGTAGACATCACCGCGTTGCTGTGATATGAAGTCGATAATAGATTTGAACGTTATGTTGCAGATCAGCGGTTTTGAAGGTAAAGAAACAGCCCCTGCGTACTTGCACACAAAGAGTCTTTTATCTCAGCAAGAGGTAAGTAGGTAAAGAAATATTGTGTGCTTCGTTCTTGGCTAGACATCATTATAACCAACTCACAATCCATACAACAAATCCTCCACCACCAACCAAAACATGCAACCAACCATATACATAAATACCGAGTCAACCAATTACCCACAACCCAACCAACCAAGGCTCTCTAAGCAGATAGATAAATAAATAGATAGATAGATAAGCTTCATTTTAGCATGGTTGGTCGGTATCTAGAGGGGCACTGCACAATTACCCAACCAAATTAAATAACAAAAGGTCTCTGACTTCATTTATCGACTTCTAGCCTCAATACACAAACAGCCTGGCGTCGCTCCAGGAAGCTGACATTTTATCTCCAGCAACAGAACAAGAGAAAAAGCTGGCGATAGATGATGTTTTGACTCCAAAAGATGTCTTATCGTTTTCCTTTCAAATAGCAGCAGGAATGGTAAGATCATGTAATAATCGGTTATTAAGAACATCGACACCCTTCCCCTCAAATAAAATTGTCGTTCGCGTTGCCATCAATATTTATATTTGGTAAGCTTACCTTACTTGAAAGTGAATATAGATTCCTTTTTGGTTATTTCCCCCGCCATTTAACGATTTAAATCGTCGAAAATATGAATCAAAACTTGCAGATATTACAGCGAAGAAACATTGACATTGTTCACCATCTTGAATTAAGCTTAGAAACCTGGCATTTGGTAGAAGCCTAAAATAAAAAACACAGGAATCCCGCGAGAATGAAATTTTAAGGTACATTCAACAAAGAACTCCCAAAAWTATGATCTGCACCAAGCAATATTTTCATTTCAGGAATATCTATCAAGCAAAGGATTCGTTCATCGTGATCTTGCCGCTCGTAATATTCTAGTGGCTGACAACAAACAAGTCAAAGTGTCAGATTTTGGACTGACACGTGACCTTTACGAGGAGAGCGCCTACAATGCTCGAGTACAGCGGAAACTACCAATCAAATGGATGTCACCAGAAGCGCTATACGACCAGGTTTTTACTACTGAGAGTGACGTGTAAGTTTGACCAGAAGTTACCAAGTAACATTAATTTTTAAGTACATTGTTTTAGTTTTATGAAGGATGTAAAAAATTCAATATTTGTTGTTAATTTTTCCACTTTTCTTTACCTTAGTTGGTCCTACGGAGTGGTGTTATGGGAGATATCAACTTTAGGTATGCTGTTTCGGGTATTTTAAAAATAAATAAGATAATAATAAAATAATAATTAATTTTGTTAAAGTGTCAGTATACTTTAGCGTAATAATACACTAATTGGTGACACAACTTAAAGAAATGAAGAAATATAATCAAAGAAACAATATTAATCAACTTCTCTCCAATGAACATGGACACCGGTGTCTTTTGTTATTCAAACCAAAATTTCTGCTGTGACTAMWATATTAACCTTGGTTTTATGTTTTRTTCTGCCTGTAGTATTACAGGCGCCATTATTATTTAATTTTGTGTTGTAGGAGGTGCTCCGTACCCTTCTATGTCTACACGTGAGCTGTATCGAGAGGTACGCCGTGGCTACAGAATGGAAAAGCCTGACATGTGTTCTGATGAAATGTGAGYTCTGCTTTGTTTTACCTTTCTCTTTTCTTCTCTTTCCTTCTCTGCCTTTTCCGTCTTTTCTCTTCTTTTTTCTCATATTTTTTAACTTGATTTACAGGTACAAAACCATGATGCAATGTTGGCAGGAAAACCCGAAAGAGCGTCCAAAGTTTACTGAACTTCGTCAACGATTTGAAGAGCTTCTACAGGAAGATAGTCCATACGTAGACTTCAGCAATCTGGACCATAACAAAGACTATTATCTGGTACCTTCTTTTAACAGCGCTGGTGACGATGAAGACGGCTCGGCATGTTCATTTTATTTATAATAATTCGCAGGGACTGCTGTGAAACATGCTTTAGGTTACTATACTGATATCAGTAATTATCGTCGCTACTTGTAGTCGGATAATGCCAGGCTTTATGATACTGATACGTACATTTTGGCTATTCATACAAAATCTAACGTCATGAGATATGCATGGAATGCCAAGTTCAACTGAAAATCCAGTCTTAATAAAATTGACGGAAATGTACGTAGGTTGAGTGTTGCATGCACGGATGAATTGGTTAGCGGATATGTGTTGTACTGGGTAAAGAGATCTGTTGGGAAGAGCAGGTTGTGTGCGCAAAAGAGAGGGAAACTTTGACTAACAGCAAAAGAAGTCTGTCGGAAGATCCATCATCATCCGATCATTTTTCCCCTTTTCGGAGTACTAGCATCCTTGGGGAGTTTCTGTCTGCAGCACTTGCTGCAGCAGTCGTGTACAGGGCCGTAGCAAGGGCCGTAGCGAGGTCAAAAATATTGCGGAGGGGGGGGGGGGGGGGGGGGNTGATATCAGTAATTATCGTCGCTACTTGTAGTCGGATAATGCCAGGCTTTATGATTGTGATACGTACATTTTGGCTATTCATACAAAATCTAACGGCATGAGATATGCATGGAATGTTAAACTGTTTTTACAGTCCGTTCTTTGCGTGCAGAAATATTTTGATAAAGTGGAAGTGATATTTAGAATATCTAGTCTTAATAAAGTTGATGGAATGGTTTTTCTCCGGGTTTTCCTCCCTGAAAAATCGACTTCTAATCCCAAATTCTTTTACCTAGTTGCAGTCTGCGGTCTCGGGTGCTGTGATTATCCCAGGTTGTGCATAAAAAGCTAAAGCTTGAATGATGTTTATAAATTAACTGTTATGAATCTCGCGTTCTGATTGGTTTGGAGCGCGTGCTTTATGAGAGCACATTGCACGCGCGCGCACTTTCCGTTGCGTCATTCTTATCTATTATTGTAATTTGTATTTTATAAAAGAAATAAAAAACTTGCTTGCTGTGCTGTGTGCAGACATAAAGCATTTGGGGATTGGTAGAACACTCGAGAAGTGTCCAGAAGCACTCCGCTACGCGTCGTGCTTCTCCTAACACTTCTCTCGTGTTCTGCCAACCCCGCGTGCTTTATGACAGCACACAGCACGCGCGCGCGTTTTCTATTTCTTCAATAATGAATGGGTAGTGATGAACGCGGTGGGAAGGGTTTATGGACATAGGGTAGGTAAAGGGATAAATGGGAGGCTAGTGTATTGCACGGATGGGTAGGGTGAAGTCAAGAATCAAGTAATCAATTTTTTGCGATCAGAGTTTTAAATTGTGAGATATTCTAGCTAATATGTTGAGCTTGTGGGTGATAGCAACGATAACTATAAAGGGGAGCAACGATGAATTCTACGAAAGAACATACCACAGGTATCCCATACATAATCACGGAACTGTCCCTGAAAAAATAATTTTTAAAGTACGTTTGCCTCTTTTTTGGAGCTGAAAAGCAAAATGAAACCCTTAGGATTTAAGATATTTATTTTTTTCGCTACTGCATTAGTGCTTTGGGTTAATTTTTAACGTTTTGCAAGATTACTTCCGGTTCCGAGTTCCTGGAATTTCCCGCGTTCACACTCCGTGTACTAGTGCAGTGTAAGCGATACTAGTATGTCGGGGAGTGATTTCGCTTNGGGGGCTCTAAAGCCACGCCCATAGATATTGAAAGCCAAACGTTCATTTGCACCATGCACATTTTTGGTTCGTTTGCCCACAGGATTTTGGATTGCAAATTAATTTGTTTGGATTCTCTCTTTTTTGACCAGATTCTGATGCCCCGTGCTATACATGACATTTTGATATTATCCATAGCAGTTGAAAAATTATTGTGGGGGGGCGATCCCCTAGCTCTACCTCTTGCTACAGGGGCTGATACAGGGGAGGGGGGGGTGGATTGGGTGGATTTCCACCCCCTTTTTAAAGTAAAAGTGAATATTTTTAGGAAAATAGAAGAATATGATTGCATCTAATTACAAAACATGTCAAGAGTCAAAATTTAGCTGCATTCACAAGTATGCAGTACACTACATGTTATAATTTAATCATTTTTTTACCTTTGTACTGTAAAAAGAAGGCTCAAAAGAACTTTTTAAAAATTATCCAACCCCCCCTTTTTAAAATCCTGTATCCGTCCCTGTGCTACGGCCCGGCTCCAGTACTCACCGTTGCATCAATTTTCTCGGTGAAATTAAAATCTTGTCCCACATACGACTACAGAGTATCTGTTAGAGTACTCATAGGCAGCCCAATCTCGGTTTTTGTCCGTACAAAAGTGTACTGCGAAAATTCGATATTTATGAATCATTCTTTATTTGTAATAAAACCGTTGAATAGACTTGTATGGAACTTCTTGTGTCTATTCTAATTGTTATTTTGTACAAAAAAGCCTTATTTCAAGGATTTTCTAAACTCATATCGCCACACGTCGGGATATGACGTAAGAAAAACCTTGAAAATGAGGCTTGAATTCGGAAGCATCGGGAGCATGAATTCTACGAAATTCTGATAATTTGATCATTGAATTGAAGAATATACCACAGGGATCCCATACATCATCACGGGACTCTTCCTGAAAAATAATGTTTGAAGTACGTTTGCCTCCTTTTTTGTAGTCGAAAAGCAAGACATTCCTAAGGATTCAATCATATTTAGTTTTTTTCTACAATATTTGCTAAGAATTAGTGTTTTTGGTTAATTTTTAGCTTTTTGCAAGATAACTTCCGGTTCCGAGTTCCTGGAATTTCCCGCGCCCACACTCGTTATATATATATTACAGTGATAGCAATAATGTCGGGGAGTGATTTCGCTCTTACAGCACCTTTTTCTCCCCGATTTTACGACCAAATGAACCTTATCTAGAAGATGGAATGTATAAATCCTGATTGTACAAAAGCAGATCTTCTTAAAAGGCTGTTTGCTGGCGTAGAGAAAGCCGAAGACCTGCCTAAAATATGTCCTTACTGCGGATCTTCCGGGCTGCGACAAATATCAGCCATCAACATAACGAAAGATGAAACCACAATTTCAACAGCAAATGATGAAACAACTACGGGACCAAGAGAAGAGAAAAGTTTGGAAGGTATCACAAAGATAATATATGTACTGATAAAGCTTGTTAAATTATAGATTTGGCGTGTCTAAAACTTAGCTTATGCGAAGTTTGAAATCAAAGTATTCGAGAAATCTTAGTAGATTATGCCTAAAATAATGAATATATTTATGTCGAAGTTTATAAATCCAAATCAGTTAACAATTGTTTGCTCTTCCTCTATTTTCACTCTTCAAATGCGCAAGATTTACCGAATAAAATTGCTTGAATGACGAGGAAATGTTGAGACGAGACACAAAACTTTAACTTTCGTTTTCTTTGGAATAGCTTGGTAGAGGGGGTGGTGGGTGGGTGTTGGGATAGAAAGGGAGATGGGGGATGATGAGGTTCAGAGGGGACAAGAAAAATCTATTGTATTTGTTGAATTTCTTAGTCATGTTATCATTCTTTTTTCCCATTACTCCAGTCATCCAATATTTTAATATGATTTTAAAGGAAACTGTGTAATAAATACACAAAGTATTTTAAAAACTCATATCAAATAATTTGCGAATGAAAAGATTTAGCTTAGTTGATGTAGAATAAAATTGGACATATACTAATGGGGTTGGCATTTTAGGAAAAATAGTGAAAACCACCTTTGTGATCTAGGCTTCCTCTTTAAAGATTAAATTTATTATTTTTTAAATATGTTTTTTCCCTATTTTTTCATCAATGCCCCCTTCCCCAATGAATAATGAACAGTCCCTTGAGCTTCAAATAGAAATTGATTAATATTATAATTTTTAATCAGCTTCATCAATAATCAAAAACTCCCCTGGACATCAAAACACAGTGGAAAATAAAGATGAAAGAAAGACACCAGTAAATGATGAAAAACCTGCAGTCAGACTCAACATTGATTCCCAACATGATATTAATGACAACGTGCATGGTATTCAGTATACATCAACAAAAGAGAGCAATGCAACAAAAGGAAAACAAGTGCCTGATGTTGTGAAACAGCAAAATGCTGGTAGTAGTGAAGATATGTCATGTCCAAGTATCAGCTCTAATAAAGGTTTGCAAACAACTTCAGATACATCAAGCTGCCACGTGCCATTGCTTAGTCAAGTTCATACTGATTCCAGTGTAGAGTCAAGTGTAGACAAAACCATTTTGCATAAATCAGATCATGGTGGTAGGGAGATGAGTGAGACGTCTACAGTTGTCAGGGCCCACATGTCTGTCATTGATGACAACATGCACAGTAATCACCATGCATCAACAGTAGAGAGTGATGGAACAAAATCAAAGCAAGTGTCTGCAGATGTGAAACAGAATACTGGTAGTGAAGGTGTGTCATGTCCAAGTACCTCTGATCAAGGTTTGCAAACAGCATCAGATACATCTACCTGCTGTGAGGCATTACTTAATGAAGTTCATACTAATTCCAGTCTAGAGTCTAATGTAGACACAATTTTGTCTAAATCGATTGATCATGGTGTTAGGAAGAGTGAGAAGTCTAAAGTCGATAAGACACACACCTCTGAACAAAGTAACAATGCAAAGGAGGCATTTGAAACTCCACCTTATAACACTAGACTACGAGTGTCATTGAATAATAAACAGAAGCAAGCAAGTAAGCCTAAAAACCAGGGTAGCCTTGAGCCAATGAACAACCAACAGCATCAAAGTAGTGACCAAAGGACAAATGGAGTCAATGGAAAATCTTTGAAGGGAAGTGTGACTATCCTTGGAACAGCTTGTGTCTTTGGAAAAACAAATGAAAGTATGCCATGCAGTTCTAGTGCTACTGAAGATTCTAATCTAACTCCTGACAACAACCAACTGGAAAAAAAACATTCACAAGCTAAAGAACAAACATATGTGAACAAAGATAATGGTGAAGCCATATCAAAAGCCAACGAAAAATCGATGGATCTCGATCCAGAGAAGAATGCAGATAAAGGAGGTGCTGAGAGAGAAAATGATTCAAAATTACCTGTTCAAGCTAAAGGAGATGACAATAAATCTGTAAGTCCAAATTTCTCTCTTTATCAGAATGCATTTCTAGTCATCACTATTTATTAATATTATTTATATTTATATATACATTTTCATGAACATGTGCATGATTGCCTGAAAAAACTATGTTTTATCAGTGAAAGTATAAAATAATAGATTTTATAAAATAAATTAAATAGTACGCACGCTGTGATTGGTTGATAGCCATGTTTGCATGAGRATATGTAAACACAGTTGTGACGTCACAACTTTCGTGTTTTCCCGGTATAAGTTCAAAAATTTAAAATTTACAGTTTCTTTCGAGGAAAAAAACGCCCCCAAAAATGCATTTTGAAGACAAAGTTCCAAATTTTGACTTGTGTCAGGGCCACAGGCATAACCCTATGGTCTCATGCAGGTCTTTCTGATCGTAATATCATAAAAATCTCTCATTGGTCACCGCAAAGAGAATTCCCTCAGGAGCTACAACACACGTCCTTCGTCAGGACAGCTGCGGTTGTTCAGCGACGTGCTTTCTCATGATTTAAATGCACCGCCCGATAAAGAATACAAGTATTTCAAGGAAACAGTCAGCAGCTTCAAACTTTTTCCAGCGATAGCTCTTCAGCTCCACAAAATATCTTCTCAAGGCAAGACGAAACAATCAACTTCGCTGCCATGTTTTCTGGCTGTCAAATTGAGCAAAACCACGTTTCTTTCAACCGAGAATTCCATTCACAGTGACACTTGTTATCCACTTTTGATCACTTTCATAAAGACAATCAATTCTGAAATCTTTTATTAAGATTTCTATTCAATCTTTGGATATTTCTTTGTATTTGTTTTAAAGTTTTAGAATGATAAATGTTTAAAATATATAGCTAGCGATTCTTTCTCGCTTCACATTTGCCTCCTTGGCGTTTATTACACGAAATTTGATTGGCTAACGATCGAAGTTNATTACCTGTTCAAGCTAAAGGAGATGACAATAAATCTGTAAGTCCAAATTTCTCTCTTTATCAGAATGCATTTCTAGTCATCACTATTTATTAATGTTTATTAATATTTATATATACATTTTCATGAACATGTGCATGATTGGCGAAAAACTATGTTTTAGAGAGCTTGTTCCCCAAAGAGGACAACACCTGAAAAAGTAATCATGGTTTTAAATTTCATTTCATTTCTTATTTTTATTTTATAGGGTTCTGCTTCTAATACTGATCAAGAATCAGAGTCTGAAGAAGAAACCAATAAACCATCAGAACAAAAAAGTGGACCTGTACCCTATGATAAGGAAGTGATTAAAGAGAAAAAGAAAAAAAGGAAAAATAAGAAGAAGGGCAAAAAAACTTCTAAAAAGGAACCCCAAAAGGAGGAAGAACCACAAGCAAGCACCAGTATTGATGCTAAGGCACAAATGTATGAATTAAAGTGAATGCTTGTAATGCTTTTCACTATATTCACATTTCCCATAATGCTTTGCTTTTTGGGGTAATTGGACGAAAAGCTCTTATGAAATTAAAGATAAAATATTAGACCTGCTTTTATGTGTAAAATATGGATTATCAGTTCATTCTGAGATAATTTCCCACATTTAAAACATCAAGGCAAGCTTTTCCTCTGGTTAACACCAGGAGGAGCAGGTGTAGCTCAATTGGTTAGTGCGCAGCCTTCAGAGCTAGAGGTCCATAGTTCGATCCTCAGGAGCTCTACGTCTGTTTCGACTTCTCTCTGTTCTGTGTAGCTTTAATTAGCTTTAAATACCTGTAAAAAGGAGCACTGTTAGTAAGAGGGGGTAGAGGGCGCACCTTCGAGCTCATTAAATTAAACGAGCCCTTGGCTCGGGAGATTTGGGCAACCACTCCCTGCATTATCGAAGTAAAATAAATTACCTTTACCTTTACCTTTTACCACCCCTGCCCAAAGTGCAATGCATTAAAATATATAGGAAATGTAAAATTATATTTTTTAATGATATCATTCACTAAATCTCAGGCACTACAAAGTGAAATTGAAAGTCAAACAATGAAAAACTTCCAATTTTCTCACACTTCCATTACTTGCATACTCGAGATGACTAAACATGGTCATGTTACAGTATTCCAATGCATGCCAGCCTTAAATTGTCTTCAATTTCAGCTAAGAACAGCTAATTTTGTTTTATTCACATTATACATATTTTTTTATCTGTGAATGAACACCATGCCACTTGAGCTTGCATTTGTTTTGCTCATGTGAACCAATATTATATTGAGTTGGAAATGCCACTTCCATGGATATTTTGGAAATTTTGTAGAGGTCAATGGCTAGCTATTAGTTGTGCTTAATTTATAATTCTGAGAATGATTTTATTTTCATTTAAAAGTGTCATGTTTTTGAGTAATGCTGGAGGATTTCATTAATTTTAGGACAATGACAACACAACATGAGAAAAATAACTCTACACATGGTAAGCAAGAGAACCAACCAGTTGAACACAAGAATTCTAGAGAACAGTTAAGGGATATACAGTGCACAGTGAATGCACCACCTCCACCTGATGTAACAGCACAAGACTGTGTCACTGTCATATTCCATGCCTTATTGTCACCTGACTTTCACTTCAACCCT